AGAGAGAGAGGGAAAGAGAGAGAGGGAAAGAGAGAGAGGGGAAAGAGAGAGAGGGAAAGAGAGAGAGGGAAAGAGAAAAGAGAGAGGAAAAAAAAGAGAGAATGAGAGAGAGGAAAGAGAGAATGAGAGAGGGAAAAGAGAGAATGAAAGATGGAAGAGAGAGAGAAAATCATATATACACACACACTCATTGAACTCTCTCGCTCTCTCATGGGGGGGGGGGCACAATTTTTGTGTTGCACAAAACCTAAATACACCACTGCAGGTATTGATGTTGGCTTGAGAAGACCTGGCTCACAGACCGCACTCCGATACATCCCAAAGAAGTTCAGTGAGGTTGAGATAAGGCACTGATGTTGGATGAGAAGGCCTGGCTCACAATTGGAGTTCCAAGTCATCCTAGGTAGGGTTGAGATCCAAAGGTGTTTAGTTGGGTTGAGGTCCAAAGGTGTTCAGTAGGGTTGAGGTCCAAAGTTATTCAAGAGTGTTGAGGTCCAAAGGTGTTCAGCAGGGTTGAAGTCCAAAGGTGTTTCAGTAGGGTTGAGGTCAGGGCTTTGTGTAGGCCACCCCAGTACTTCCATACCAAACTGGTCAAACCATGTCTTTATGGAGCTGGCTTTGTATACAGGGGCCCCGTCATTCCAGAACAGAATAGGATCTTCACCAAACTGTTACCACAAGGTTAGAAAAGCACAATTTTCTACAATGTCATAGTATAATATATAGTTCTAACAGTACCCTTCACTGGAAACACCTGAATGTAATCATTTGGAGGACCCAACTACCTTTGGCCATATTGTGTAAAATGCTGTACATCTAGCTTTGGATAGAATAGGCAATGTTTAAAGCTGACCTCCAGCCTTCCCTTCAATCTTTCAGATACAGACACCGCTCCTCTAATGAAATTGCTTACTCTGATTTTACTGCACACTTTGAGCTTCTCACAATGTGCGTTAGAAGCTGCTGCATGAGCATGCAGATACAGGATGGGGGATGTACAGCATCGTCTAGCTCTTTCCTCTGCAGCATAACTGTGCCTGGCCTGCCCCTTCCATTCATTGGATTTATTATTTATTTTTATTTATTACAGCTACTTATATAGCGCATTTTTTACATATATATATTGTACATTCACATCAGTCCCTAACCCTCAAGGGGCGTACAATCTAAGGTCCCTAACTAACATTCATACATACATATACTAGGGACAATTTAGACAGAAGCCAATTAACCTACCAGCATGTCTTTGGAGTGTGGGAGGAAACCGGAGTACCTGAAGGAAACCCACGCAGGCACAGGGAGAATCTGCAAACTCCAGGCAGGTGGTGCCGTGGCTGGGATTTGAACCGACGACCCTAGTACTGCCAGGTGGAAGTGCTAACTGCTTAGCCACTGTGCTGGATTTCAGTTCTTTCAATAATGGAGGTTCGGCATCACATGTGAGAATTACCTAGGCAAATGCAATCTATCCGGGTACAACTACACCTCCAAAAATCAACTCCCTCAAGTCAGCCCACCAGCAAATGTTGGATTTCCCCAAGACTCTTTGTATCAGTAGCAACGGCCATAAGATCATAGAAACAAGAAAGAACTATGGCAGAGAAAAAAAAAAAAAGTCGCACATCAGATCTGCCCCTTTGACTGCTTGGTCTTTTTCTGCCATCAGTCATCTATGTTTTTATGACCTAGTGATCAAGACATAGTGTTGGGAAATCCACAATTGGCCATAAGAAAAATTGAGGAAAATTTTCCAACAGGGACATGTGTTTTTATTCAAATGAGAAGGGTCAATCTCCCCAGCGGGGGGGACACAGCAAGAATTTTTAATGAAAAAAGGGAGTAAAAAAGGTGTTTAGAGTTACCAGCTACCAGAAAATTCTACAATATATACATGTCATTCATTAACTGTATCTGGGTAAAAGAATCAACGTTAATTGGAAGGGCCCTACCAAAGAATAGAATTACAATTTACCATAAATGGATGGATAAATATCGTCAAGCTACACAAGCTACAGAGACCTTACAATGAACAGAAAAGCCAATGGCAACATCCAACCCAATGCCTAAATTCCACGAGTATTAATCAATGTATCTTCACAATAGTTCAATAAGAATTTGCAAGCTCCTAAAAGGATCTCTATAACCTTAGGGTCAGCATCCACTTGATCACAACTATATGACGAGTAGACAGGTGTGATTCATTTAGCTTTGATTCATTTTTCGGACGAAAATTTCATTTTGTATCCGAATCGTTGAATGAGCATAGAAACAAATTTGAAAAAAATGTTTTAATGAAATTAACAAATGTATTTCTTTCATTCAGATGATGTCACATGATGCGATAATAGTTCAAGCCCATGGGAAAATGAATAAAATTTTCGAATTTGTTCAATAATTCAGACAACGAATGGATCCAAACTTCATTCCATTTGTTAATTCGGATGTACCCGATGCCAGTCAATATTGCCCGATCAGCTCATGCCATTTGTCTTGCAAGGTTGGACTAGCGGCCGAAAATACTGAATCCTTCCAATTCAAATCCGTCCGATTAGATAACATATTGAATATATATGTAAGATCAAACCGTGCAAATCCCCAATCAACTGAAGTCACAAAGCTGCAAGTATATAAGAGGATATTGTCTCTTAACAGGCTAATTCAAATGGATACTGCGCTAGGTGAACCCTGTAGCCCCTAGAGGACGTCTTTTGATGACGAAACATGTTGGGCAGAGCCTCCCTCGGGAAGCCTGGCAGTGCTCTACATTATAAAGCTGTTTGGGACCCCCTGTAATTAAGGGGTCTCCATTTCTGATAAGCCTCCATTTGTTACGTTGGTGGTGGTGTGCACTCTGGTGACCAGTAGAAGCAAGTTCATCTACATTTGCACTTCCAGCATTGTCTACAATAATACCATATTTATTATTTACGGAAAAAATAATTATACCATTACAACTTCTTTAAGTGCAGTTTATACAAGCAGTTGTAAGCAGATTGTTACTCATTGTAAGCATTTCTATTGTATAACATATATTGAAAACAAGCAAACATGCATGATCATTTTTTTGTTACCAATCAATCATAGGCCTGCAAATAAAGTGAGCCTGGTTTAAAACGGCAGTGCAGGACCCTTCTGGTGACACCAAGTGCTTTTGTTAATCCTCAGCTCAGTCCCTGTGGACCCCCATAGTATACCAGGTCACTGGTTGCTCATACAGCTTCAACCTTCCATGTCCAATTTCAGCCCAACCCCCTGTCATTCAACTGTCAAAGTCACTATGGCCCCCTGAGGATCTAACAGTTTAATGACAATCACCAAAAATACTTTATTATGGTAACTGTGTGGTTAATACTTGTAATCATAGTGTCTGTTTATATTTAAATGTTTTCCACATTTTACAGGCAGGCCAAGCTGTCCAAAAAAAATGGCAGTTACTGAGGTTGGGACAAAGCATATAACACTGCTGGGGGGAGGAGGCACACAACCATCAGCTTTTATTAAAATGTTTTCCGAAAAGAAAAAAATATAATGTTCTAGCTGCTTAGAACAGCATTAGCTGGTGTTGGGCTTTAATTTGTTACTATGTGAGAACCAAAAGGTTTTAACATAATAATTCAATTCCAAAAGTAATTTTTTATATATTTTTTTAAATCTGCAGCTTTTGTTAAAGTAATCCCTGGTGATTCTGCCCTTCCTGTTAAAGGGTGATGATGGTCTGTCCCCATCCCCCAACTGTTCTCCTGCATTGTCACCCTGTCACCTTTTAGGATACCCACCCTGAGAAATACCAAGCAGCCATCACTGGGAAAAAAAAGGTTTATGTTTATGATAATCATTAGATCAGTCCCTGTGGACCCCCATTGGATTTTAGGCACAGGTTGCTCATAGAACTTCAACCTTCCATGACCAACTTCAGCCCAATCCCCTGTCATTCAAAAGTTCTTCATTTTAGTGCTTGCTTCGGCAGCACATATACTAGAATTGGAATGATACAGAAAAGATTAACATGGCCCCTGAGCAAGGATGACACGCAAATTCGTGAAGCGTTCCATTTAAAAAAAAAGTTTTTTAGCAAACAAAATGTCGTTCAGTTGGGGTTTACATCAACTTTAATCCCATATGGTTACCAGAATGCAATTTTTTTTTGCAATAGTGATCTGTGTGAAACTAAATGTCCATCTATGACGATCCTCAGGGTGCAAACACTGCAGTGATATCCCTGCAGAACAAAGTTGTCACCCCACTGAAGGAAGTTGAAAATCAAAGGATCTACTGGAAGGATCAAATCGTATGTTACACGGGGGGGGGGGGGGGTTTCTTAGATGGGCAACAAATGCTGTGCTATTACTAATGGCAGGCTGCTTCACGTATACCACTTTATTATCAGACTGGAGAGAAGTCAAGGCCCTGTGTACATAACAGGACTTCCCAAATGACTCACCTTTTAGGGTTCTTCTAACCTTTCTAATTTAACCTCCTTGGCGGTATGATTATTTCAGATTTTTGGTGCTGAAAGCGGTACCATTATTTTGCATGGAAATTTGGCGTTTTATATTGTAGGCCTGTAATTTTTAGGAATAACTTGCTGAAATCTGTCCGAACAAGAGTCTAGTAAACATCCCGAGTATGATAAAATTTGAAGCACGAAATCATACATTATAATTTAATAAATAATCATAAAAATAATAATAATATAATAATACATTTAATTCAATAATATAATCAAACCAAACACTGAAATTTGAAATATAGCGCCAAGTTTGCACATCACTGAGCTCAGTCGCAGAATCATTTTCAGTGTCTGATGACGGATTTCCCCACGAATCATTATCATTCAATTCTGCAAGTGGTTCTAATATACTATCGCTGTTCTCTAGCTGGTCTAAAACCACTTTTGACCAAAAGGGACGCTTTCTGGACGCCATGGGCGTTTCTCAGTTTCCAGGCAGAAAGAACAGTAAAAATGCAGGCAGGGCACAGGACAAAGCACTCGGGACAAAATGTATGTGAAATGGTTTGATACAGTAATGTTTTACTATGTGATTTTAATGAATGTCACTTTTTGTCATTTTCAAATTTCCCGCCGTCCCATCCCCGTACGTCCCGACGCTCGCAGGGGACGGAACCTAGATGACAGATGTCGGCATCCGCCAGATTACATTGCCGGGGACACTGCAGGAGGGACATCGGGGGAGCGCAGGACAAGGTACTGTAAGTGATCGAGGGATCGTGGAGCAGCACCGCCGGGTATTCACGAGTGTAGCTCGGGGTTACCGCTTGTGGTACTGAAACTTTACCCCGAGCTACACTCGGGAATAACGCCAGGGAGGCTACAGTGTAACTCAACTCACCAATAAAAAAATGTAATATATTGTAGCCTATCAGTCCTTAGATGTGGTTCCTGCATTAGCTTTCTCCATGGCATCTATGGAAGACGCCACAGGTATCACTTGCGTTGGATGTCATTTATGTCTACCTTGGTTCAAATCCATGACACTGTAGATTGATGGGACTACCTTAAAGAAGAACATCAGGAATGATATTAGCTTAATCACTTACTTTGGGTAAGCTTGGCTTGAAGGAATTATCCAGAAGCCACTTCCACATGACTGACAGTGAAGCCGTTACAACTAAGTGCCCGGTGGGCACGAAACGTGTTATCCTCTCCTGTCCCTCATCAAGCCATCAAGAAGTGCAGCTATCTGGATTTTTCTTTGTGTTCTTCAAAGGTGTAGTTCGCCGTTGAAGCCCATGCTACATACAGTTAGTGGTGTCCTCTTCTGGCGCATGACCAGGTGATGCCAACATACAGCATCACGCACCCTCTCCACCACTCAGGAGAAGCATTGTATTTTTTTAAATGAATACAAGGCGTGCTGTGATTGGTCGAGGTGAAAGGAGTGGTGGATGGCACCATGATCTATGCCTTGGCCAATCAGAATGCTACTCTAAGTTTGGTGCACAGAGGGGAAGTCCCCTGAGCATGTGCCGGGAGGGGACGCCACTAACGACTTCATCGACCACTTGGAGATGGCATCTGGAAAATTCACTTGAGCCAAGCTTGTTCCAAGTAAGTGTTTAAATTAATCTAATTTCTGCAGTAATTATTTAATGATATTATGAAAGCAGTTCTCAGTGACTGGAAGAACTATTGACTAATTTTTATATTGATAATTCAAATAAATTATTTCCAGCTGGACTACTGACCTTTGAGATCTCCTGCAAGCCTCCCCTGTATATGGGATGTGCAATGCACACACAGTGAAAGAATTTTTATTGGATTGAGTTGATAATTATATTTGATGTACAATATAAGTTATAATGATCTACCGTATATAGTTCTATGTGTGTAATAACAAGGTCTAGTTACATGATTGTAGATACCTCCAGCTTTCTCTTGAAGTAGGCTATTGGTTCAAGAAATGTGTAGAGCAACATTGTTACAACTTCCCACCTTTTACTCCTCTTTGAAAGATTCAATATAATTGGAAGCAATACAATATTGTGATGAATCTGATACTCTGGTGTTTGTGGGTTTCAAAGATGTGCGTTCTCTACTCCTTTGTAGTGACTGCCATGTCTTCAAGGAAGTTCTAATCAACATCAGAGGAGTATGCACTATTAGTTTAGGTAATAGAATCTCTGCTCCAAAATAGAACTACGGCAACACACCCTCATAACACTTTCAATGTGGACCCATTTCTTTGTACTTTCTTGGTTCCACCAGTGTTTCAGTTTGTCTAGGATAGTGGCCTTATAATAGTTTGGGATGTTAGGAGCACCCATGCCTCCAGAACTCTGGTGTTGGATCAGAAGCTTCTTATTAACTCTTGGTCTTTTCCCTTGCCAAATAAAGTTTTGGAGAATATTTTGTAGTCTATTTAGAAACATGGTAGGCAGCGGTATTATAACTGTGCAGAAAACATACAGCAGTCTTTCCCAACCTTTCTACCCCTGAGGAACCCTTGAAATAATTGTCACGTCTCAGGGAACTCCTGCTACGATTAGTCCATTGGGGGTCATAAAAAATACAGTATGCCCTTTACATTGGTGGTCAGTGGAAATAATCAGTCTCTTACAGTGCTGGTTAGAAAACCACCTTACAGACAGCTTACAAAAATCATTGAGGTCATGTTACTAGCTCTGCCAAATGGTGAAGGACCTAGATCTATGAAGGCACCATCAGATGGGAAGCCATTTAGTTATAGGTCAAGGAACTCCTTGCAACCTCTGGAGAAACCCTAATTGAGAATGGCTGACATACAGGTTCTTAGATAATATTGTTTTAACTATAGCTACCTGGGTGATCATATTTGTCATGGTCAGGCTCGAAGACCAGTAGCTATAGCAGTAGAGAGGCTCCCACTGACCAGCAGGATAACTACACAAGCAGATCACACTTTTGGATGACAAGGGGTCCAAGTAAGCTCAAAAGAGCAGGGCCCTCGAACCCCTCGTGTATTGGTTTGTTACTGTATTGCCTCATGTTCTGTCCCCCACTATAATGTACAGCGCTGAGCAAACCTTTCTGGCACTATATACATACTGTATAATAATAATAATATTGGGTTTTCAGCAGAGCTCCTGTTGGTGGAGATGGATTTTGCTGCATGCTAGTTTCAGGTCATAGTCCTCAGGATCACCCTACCAGAAGGTGGACAAGCCAGGGTCCAGTAGAAGATATAGCAGGAAGGGACTAAGCAGAAGCTTAGTCAGTACACAAGCCAAAGGTCAGTAACAAGTGGATGCAGGTTGTGATCAAGTGAAGGCAGAGTTGAGGAACAAGCCAAGCTCAGTAATAAGCGGTGGTAAAGATACGGACAGCAGCAGTAGAAAAAGGAGCAAGATATTGGATGGAGAAGAGCACAATAATCTTGCAAACAGGAAGTACAGAGACATGGCTTAAATCGGGAAGTTCATGGGAGGAGCAAAGAGTTCAAGGTTCATCAGAAACACAGTACAAGGCAAGATTGTCCACAGAATCAGACAGCAAGCAGATGCCCATCGCAGATGATACAGTGAAAAGATCTAGAGCCAGAAACCACAGAAGTCTAAGGTTCAGATCTGGACCCTGGCAATATTCCCTACTCTATTATTGAGCCTGTGTTAATAGGAGTGACAAGTTACACATGAAGGCACATTGACTCGGGTAGGTTATTTGAATTCCTAAATAAGGGACACTTTTGTCAACTCAACGATTGGGGAATTTAGTGAGGAGCCAATGTTTGCTAGGGGTAGAAATACCCATTTCAAGAACAAGTTATTTTTTTTGTTCACTTTGCAATAATAACTTATTCAAGTAACATTATCAGCATATAGGCCTGTAGTATGTGTTTCCTCTCCAATTTGCACTCCATGAATGTTCAGCTGAGTTTGTATTAGTTCAGCCAGGGGCTCCATCATGAGAGTAAAAATAAGTGGTGATAGCGGGCCTTCCTGCCTGGTTTCACTTGAGATTTGGAAGGAGAAGGCCACCTCTGGCCATCTAAGTATATTTTTGGGCTTGGTGTAGAATAAACAGTGCTGATGAGCTATAGATAAGGAAATTAAAATATGAGTAGAACATAGATACTGTAATAAATCTGATGTTGTCTTTAAAAATTTTTTGTAATAAACTATTTTTGCTTTCAACTGTTGATATTGTCTTTGGATCTATATTGGGCACCCCAAACGTTCTGTTAAAGGTCAACTTTTTTGGGATGATAGTAAGGTTAATCAATGTCTACTATTTGAGAATCCACATGAACTTGTTCTAGAGTCTGCAGATGTATGGGATTAGAAGTTTACATAATAAAAATAAAGTTCTTTGTTTTGTCTTTTCCAGCGTAGAAGAAATGACAAAGACATTACATTTATGGCAGGATCAACAGATATTTTCTATACTTGCTGAAAATGCTTTTAATTCTTCTTTAAGGTAGCCTTTATCAATCATCAATGTAATGGAGCTGAACAAAAGCAATGTTTAAAGTCCAGCTTGGATGACAGCCATGGTATCCAACATAGATTCAATGTAGAAATGAGTATGGTATGGGCAGGAAGTGTGAGACTGGTAGGATCACTAGAATGAAAATAAAGGAAAAGAGCTTGGAATTTGTACTAGGTAATAGGTATTTTGTGCCAGCTGTAATGAAGGAAAGAATATCAGGGGATAGCTGTAGAGGTGAGTACCAAAGAGTCGGAGTAAGGTGGCAACAATGTCTCTTCAAGGAATTCTCTGACCCCTTCCATCATCCTCTCCTCCTCCAGTTCCCTAGCTAAATTTAGCCACATAGGTCCAGATGGGGGAGAAAAGGGAAATAAAATAAGAAAAAGGTCATCATAGATGAGGCCAAGCTCTGTCCTATAACTAACCCTGCTGTCCTAGGCGCTGGCCCACGTGTGTCATTATGGTAAATACACACCTGCCTTTTAGTCTGGAGATCTGTTTCAAAAGGGTAAACCACAAGGTGTCTATATATACTTGAAACTGTGCACAAATCTTGCTTTGTGTGCCTTTGATTACCCAATCCTCTCCATGTTCAGGACCAAGGAAGCCTTGTGCTTTCCAGCATTGGAACCTTGCCCACCCCCTGATCACCTTATTTCCAAAAGGAACTTCAGGCATTTTTTTTTTTTTTCAAGTATGGTGGGGTGGTTTAGAAAAGGGATAGGCAAACTAAGACATGCCTACCAGGAAAGGCATGCAATTCCATTTCCATTGGCATCCAGAAGGATCTTCTGCCTACAAATGTACTGCTGTCATAGGCTGTAACGGACAACTCACCAGGCTGTCAATTACAATGCCTGGCTGCCCCTCTGGACCCATGGCTAATACACCTTCATGATGTTTTAGAGAAGTTAATAATGTTCAGGTTACAAGCCTCCTTTCAGTATCAGTGTAGGCCTGCCTGCGGCTGCACACATCATTCCAAGAAGAAGCCCCTTTTGCCTACCTTCTTATTGCTCCTAGTGGAAACGCCAGCTTCAGCAAGTATGAAAGCAAATCCATTACGCTTATGATGGTGATGGAACTGAGGTGTGATGGTGCTGGAATTGGGGTGATCTGGGGTGATCTGAGATGTGAAGATGCAGGATTCGGGGTGATCTGAGGTGTTCAGGCGCAGGTGCAGATATGATGGTGTCGAAATTGGAGCTGAGATATGTAGATACAGGAATTGGGGTGATCTGAGGTGTTAAGGTGCAGGAATAGGGGTGATCTGAGATATGATGGTGTAGAAATTGGGATTACTGAGATAGTCCGGTGCAGGACTTTGGGTAATCTCAGGTATGAAGGTGCAGAAACTGCAATTGATCTGATGTCTGATGGTGCAGGAATTGCAGTTAAAGGATAAGTT